ATTTTTAGTTCCATACTTTTGTTGCGAGATAAAATTTCAGTCTACCTTGATATTTTGAAAAATTAAATTAACTTTTTTCAACGATTCGCCTACCAGGGCGAGAATCATTAAGATAAATTAATCTTTGGCGAGAATTTTTAACATCGAAATTTCCAGAACAAAAACGAACAAACCGATTCTGACACTGGCGTGGACTTTGACACTTATTACCACAGATACTACAGGATTTGCGATGAGCCTGCGTTTTTTTCTTTTTGGAAGTAAAAACAAGCAAAATGTGACGAATATGACTTTCTGGAATCTCCATTTTCAAGGCACAATAACTTTTGATTGGTTACACGAAAGCGCTATTTTCGTATCTACAATGTTATATAGAATGTTATCTTTCAAATGCGCTACAGTATGGCTTCATTGATTAAGTATTTTTAGCAATATACGACTTTTTTTTATTTTATAATAAACTATACTTTCATAATTGTTTTCGTAGTGGGCTTGAAACAAAAACAGACGCTAGGTGACGCTAAACATTCAGGTCACCAAAATGGCTGTTTAAAGACGTTAGACGATTTCTGGAAAAATTTAAAAATGATCATAAAAAAATCGTATAGCAATTCTTATTTAATTCTAAGCAAAAATGTGGAAACTTTGATATAAAAGAATATGAATCAAACAAAAGAAAATGAAACAGCCGGTTTTACTACAGTAACAGAATCAAGTCATTGCACAGTAAGAACAGTCTCTTTAGCTTGAAAAACAGATTTGTAACAGCAAAAAAATACTCTGAATCTATAAGTTATGAAGATTTTGAAATTCTTTGAGAAATATTAATACCTTTCTTGATTAGTAACTTAACATTCTCGAGAAGCAATCGATTCCAATATCTATATGCAAGCTAAAATAAATAAACTAGTTCAAAAAATAAATATTTACTAACTGCGCTTTTTGTCAGCACATCACAAAACACAATTTTACAAGTTTAACGCAAAGCATCACACGAATTCATGTTTCAATTCTATGACAAAAATCTGCCATGCAGAGTTTGAATAATTTAACACTAATGTCGATATCAGCAATCTTCAAAATTAACTGCATAAATGAAACAGTATCATAATTATTTGATTGATTAATTCATGTTATTATTATAAATAAATGAGCTAGTTGTTCCAGGAGTTTAGATTAATTGATTTATTATTGGCATACGATTAAAAATACATGCCAGTTTCCCTACTTTATATGTCAATCGTGCCAGCATTATAATAATCCATATCAGTGAAAGTGTTAGCCGTGTTCATCTTTGGCTAGATCGCTAGCATGCCACAATGATGAGTTCCAACTAGCGATGGAAGACGAAACGATTCTCTTTATTTTTTTTTCTTTTATTCCTTGTTTTTCCTTTAAATGCACTCCGCACTTTATAATAGAGGCAACACATATTAATTTTAACAGAAAGTGAAACTTGCTTGACATGGAGAAAATAGCGTATGCATGTATGGGAGCAACAAGGTTTGCACACACACATGCGCGCAAATAAATCATTCTGCTCAAATCGTCCAGTAAAATGTTAAGGGTTGATTCATGTTACCATAATAATTCTTGTAGATTGCTGTTATAGTTAAATATTCATAAATTTTTTACTTTGAATACATGCATTCAATCAAAAAAGTACGAGATAAATTTTTTGCTGACAACTAAATGAGAAATACAATGCGATTTTTCAATCATTACTTTTGAATTTTTTCAAAAGTAATGATTTTTAAATCAGCCATTTTGAGCTCTGAAAGTTTAACTATATACTCATTATCGGCAACCCTTACATGTCTTAATAAGTTTAATATCTGGTTGCAAAACTTTGAAACCCAAGCTAACTAATGTCAAATTTAGTGACCATGATGTTTAGTGTTTTATTTTTTTTTTCGTATTTCATTTCATTACTTTTTTTTCATTCTTTTGTACTTCCTTTATATCATTATATTTTATTTTTCCATTTGATTTTCTTTTATTNTCTGCAAAAGAGAGCAGAGCACGTGGGGTTAGATCGGGCGGCGAAAGGGCTCGCGAAGCGCCGACCATGGCGTTCCCCGTATTCTCTCTCTTTGTCATGGCAGCGGATCTTCTTTTTTTTTATATACTTTTTTTTTAATGCATTTCGTTTTTTCATTTTTTTACATTGTATTTCCTGTATTTTTATTTCATTTTCTTTCTTATTTCTTTTTTTCATTTCATTTTTTTTTTTGAGCGCTGTTTTAGTTTGCATACATTTGCAATATATGGCTGTCACGAAAAGGCATATAGAAAAGGCCCGTACAAGAAAGGCAGCAAGATCATGACAAATGCTTACAGAAAGACAAAAATTGAGTCTGTAACGATCGTCTTAACGATATAGACTGAGCCTGATGAGGTTGGCGTTAAGACCAACGAAACGTTGCTCAAACTAACACCTGACTTTGGAGTTTTTATTCTCACTTCTAAATTAGCTCTTACTGATCGTATGCTTATGCACTAAACCTCAAGAAATCATGGAAACAATTGGGAGCAGAACGGCACGTTCAACAAACACCGTAAAGAATTAGCTATTTTACCGCTCCATCCGAACGATGCTGAAGTACAAATGTATATTTTCAAAGCACTCTTTGCTTGGCGTAAATTATAGTATCACAGAAATACAAAGATGAAAAATTCATATCTTAAACGTAACTATCATGGACTAGCCTGGTATTCAGGCAATATAAAGTACCCTGAGATTGGGAATATTTTACGAGAGAATCTTAAAAATGCCACCAAAATTTTAGTGAATGCAGAACTAAAACAAAAGTGGCTTGAAAGATTTGGATTTAAAGTCACTGATATGACAGATTATCCTTCGTTTGAGCTCCCAAAACAGGTTACCAGTTGCCCTCATCATAATGGAGCTCACAAAACTATGTGTGCTCTTCACAATGTCAAACGCATCAAAAAGTTCTACTTTTATTCAGAATGAGAATATGAAAGTGATGGTAATAAAGAGCTGTACACATAAGTATTTAAGAAAAATGTAATTTGTACTTTGTAATTTGTATTTCAAAATAAATTTTCTAAAAAAAAAGAATAAATGTTTTAATTCTTACTATTATTTTCCGAAAAAATAAAAATCCACTCCTTGTCCTATCCACTCTCATCATACATTATACATTTTGAATTAAAAATCTTTTTAAAAATATATACATGCACGCATCGTACGTTAGTATTTATCTATGTATGTAGATGAACATGTAGATGTGTACACGTATTACCTTGGAAAGGTAACACTTATTTGTCATACCTCACAGATATAAGCGTGTGGTTGGGGCTCTCATCCATACATACAAAACAACACTCTCTCCTACAGGCTAGCCAGAGAGAAGGAAGCTGCGCACAACCCCTAACGCTTCATGTAGAGTCGCGGCTGTCCGCGCACGCTCGCGCACGCGGGCAGGGAGGGAGACGTGTGCAGGATTCGGCGTGTGCTCTTATCGGCCTAGTCTATCTACTCTTAATCACTATTTTCTCCTTATATGCCTTCGTATAATATTAATAATAGTTTCTTCACTTATCGAATGTGTTCAAAACAGTCACCGATTTCTCCAAATTGAAATAAAATTTTTTCAAGACCTTTTTTTCGAATACTTTGTGATTAACACACAATAAGAAATATAGTTTAAATTATTAGAAAATTCCTTAAGTTCTCAAGATTATTGCAAGTATTTTCAAACTGTATTTTACATTGTTGTTAGAAAACGTCTATCTGATCGAAAAAATTAATTTTTTCTGGCATTTAAAAAATCAAGATGACTGAACTTAATCTCTTCTGTATTATAACTTGGTATTATCTACTTAAGGTCACAAATGTAAACGTCACTAATACTTGGACAGTGTACACATTTTTCACGTGTGCAATAACAGACTTAAATCAAGAGTAGTAAAAAGTGTGATATAGTATATAAATCTATGAAATTATTAGTCAATACCATTCAAAGCGAAAGACTACACAATTTGATTCATGTCAAATGAACATACTATAGGCAGTGTTAATTTTCAGAATGTTCAATACGCACCAAATTTTTTTTAGAAAATTCATTTTGTTAAAAAAATACATATAACAGTAGTCTTCCGACTTTTCATACATAAAAAACTTTGCTTTCTAATGAGAACAACGTGAATTTGTCTGCTAAATAACATAGTCGAAAATATTGTAATATCGGAGATCAGTGGGTATTGCATGGCGTTATGTAAACATTATAAAAGTTTTCTATCTTAGCGTTTTATATGAGATACTTCAAACTGTGATGATTTGCATGAAATCGTACATTGATTAATTATTTATGTGTGACGATTCCCGTGTTAAAATGTGTTAACCTCGTGTTGCAAAATAGGTTTAAACAGTAAAAATTATACATAACAACCTTTTTTATGTATTTTATATTTTATACATATTTAGCATAAAAGCATTTTATATCCCTTCATTATAATAGTATACAGCTACAGTTAGTTAATTTAATACCAAAATATGTGTATTCACGGCAACCAAGGTTTACAGAGCTACAGTGCAGAAGCACAAAACTAATATATAATATGTTTTGTGTCTAAATTACGGTTTATTGCTGTTTTAAAAATTTGTTTTACTACTTGACATGAGTCAAAATATGTTAAGCAGGAAATTAACAAAAAAAAAAACGTTTTTCAACCAAAAAATATCCGTAACTGATTATCAAACATTTTCAAATAGAGTATTTATTTAAAAATTAAAATGTCATTTTTTAAATCATAAGTTTAACTTAGACTCCATTGTTTTTGTACAAATTTTCACTTGAATGAAAATGTATTTAAAAAATTAAATAAAAATACATGATATAAATAGTAGAAAAAACCATTCTCGAAAGCTACCCAATAGATAAAAATGTGATATTTTTTAGTGAATTACTAAGTATAGAATAACATTAAATGTAAAATTTGTTATCTTTCATTAAATTGAAACGGATACTTACTTCTGTTGAGAACAAAGTAGAAATTTTGACTAACGATAAAACTTCATTTTCATCCACTAGTTTTAGTATACAAAATTCACATTTTGAGTTTAGTTTTAAGTAAGTACATAGATACAAATCATCGACAGAATCACAAAATTTCTTCAAACCAAAATTTTGTATAGGATGGTCTGATGAGTAGTTGTTTGGAATTACTTCAATATCTGCAATACACTGAGATTTTACGTAAGACCACATCCGAAGACGTCCTTCTCGAGACAGTGAAAATAAATAAAAATTATGATTCCATGAATGCATGACCAAAGACATAGAAACGTCAGTATCTGCTGAGCGTCCACGGAAAGCTGTAGCAATTCCACTTAGGAAACGAGGAACTATAGATTCTTGTTTTATTTCACTTGAGTGCATTTGGCCTGAGCGTACATTTAGACGTAAAATAAGTATTGTTCCAGTACTGTACGCTAAAGCAAACAAAGCTTCATTATTTGACATCCATGATGTTGCAGTATGAGGCATAAGCGAATCTAAATAACAAAATTTTTAACATTCAGATTAAACTTAACATAACATGTTCAGAAAGTTTTATTTTTTAGTACTAGGTTTATTTCAAATATTGTTTACAGTTAGTGTTGCAATAATTTCACAGCTAAAAATTTATTTTTACAAGTAACGTATAATGTTTTACGTACAAATGTATTCAACAACATAATAAATATGTGAGCAAGTAAGAAATATTTTGTAACTTTTATAGACTCACTGCGTAAGATACTTGAGAGCAAAGGAATTTTTCAGTTGTCGAAAGGATAGTATATAAACGTGATGTATTATGAAAGAACCTTAGACTTTTACACCTTCAGCATTGGCAAAAAATTAAAGCTTTTAGTGAAGAAGCAGAATTGAATAACTGAGGCATATAAATACGTAAATTTGGCAAAAGCAAAGTTTACATTGATTCGTATATAGTTTTTGGTGCTAAAAACTTTTTTCTTTAACTCTCAAGTTATTTTTCTACATGGCTATTTTTAACATTTGTAATATACGTTTTAATGTCTTAAGTCTGCAGCTAAGACACCAGGTCAGAAATAAGGCAGATACACCAGGCCAGAAATGAGGCAGATACACCAGGCTGTCCCAGATCAGGATTTTCCTACGGGGTATTTTCCGGGGTTTTTCTGATCCACATGACAATCATCATAGGCGAATACGGAGCAGTTAATAGAACCCTCCTCCTTTCTAATCCCATCCCAATTTCTTCTCAATCCCAAGTGCTAAGTACCCTAAGTAGTGCTTCTACAAGAGAGCCGGACGTAAAACACTGTAATAAAAAAAAAAAAAATACTATAGAAAAAGTGTAAGGTTACTCAGGGCAAGATCCGAAAAAAAATAGGTGACCTAAAATTTCCTGTTTGAATTCTTTTAAATAAATTTTTTTTAACAGAGACAGCACCTCATCCAAACGCACTGTTAACCGTTCACCTACATGAGCGGACTCATCTCACCGTTCCAAGGCTCGCAGCAATTCCTAAAAGGGCGAGGTGGATGACAACACATCGGTTGTCGGTATAGTGTAGGTGTAGTTACGCCTAAATATATGTACTTATATATGTTTAAATGCAACGTATAAGCACCGTACATCGTATCATTATGGCATATCAATAATTTAACACTTTCCATGTAGTGTAGAAATAGTGTGTGCAGTTTTGTACGTCGAAGCTCATTAGATGGACAAGTATTTCTTTTTTTTTGTTATATCTGCGTATCTCTATCATGGTTTGAAGAGTGTACTAAATTTATCATGACTCTTTGATAAACGTAAGATTTTGTATATACTACTTCTTATCAGATCTTGCCAATGAATATTTGCTAATTGGGATTTTCTGAAGATGAATTTTTTTTGTGAGAAGTATAATTATGATGATTAGCGCCAACTGTTTACTGGTGAGTCAATTGTAAAGACATAACTACGAAACTATTGTTTTCAGAATTCCTAGTCTTTGTGGTTTCATATGTGAGAAACTTTTTTATAAATGATGAAAAGTCATTTGTTATTCCGAATAATTTTTATTACCTTTGAATGGAGCTTTAGTTTTCAATTTCAAAAACAGAGTTGACGAATTTTTTTTTTAATATTTAGAGGAGTTCGATGTAATGTATATTTTACAAAATGAAAAAGATTTTTTTAATTTCTTATCTGATTTTAAGTTAAATAAAAAAGACACTCTTGCCTAAAACAACTGATGAGACACGCAACACATTAAAGATTGTAAATAGTGTTGAAAAGTCACCAATAGAAGATTTTTGGTTTTTTTAAATTTTGATAAAATTCATGAAATCCTTAAAAAAAAAAATTAATTAGTGGAGCTAAGTTACTATTAATACACAAAAGCCTACTTTATAAATGTGGATTTTTTTTAATGAGTTTTATTAATCGTAAATGTACTTGAAATGAACTTGAGATATTTAAAATATGTATTGTAACTAGGTAGAAAATGGAGTGTACTTAATTTCTCTGAAATAAGACAGTGGACTGTAAATAAATTTTTAATTACTCAGTACTATAAACACAATGGAATTGTATATGGCTAGAGTTTTAGTATATTTTACAAAATAAAAATAGGCAGTTTAGACAAATGTGTAGTTTCAATACTTATTTTTACCTTGAAGTAATTTGTTCACGAAAAGTTTCAAAATTTTTGAAAAGTTTTATTCAATATACGAAAACTAATAAATTTGTCATGTTTTTTTTTTTTTTGATAAACAATTTGAAATATACGTATCCCCTTTCATGAAGACAACAGCATTTATCTATTATTAAATAGTACTTTCAGTGGAATAATAGTATCAAGCAAGTATAAGGAAACAAAGAAATCTTGTTTTTTAACGTACATAACTTTTGTTATAGATAACTAATGTACTTATGTAGATTTGTAGCATAGATGCAGAAGACTTCATAAAAATCACTTAACAAATCACAGTCTTGTTTACAACAAAATGATTTGGAACTTTTATAATCGGTTTCACGTTGATAATCATAAGAATAAATAAGTACAGTTGAATTGCTGCAAACACATTACAAGCATACTAGAAGAGAACTTGATTGGCTAATATAATCGTCGTTCCTGAAGAGGGTAGAAAACGGTCGCTGACAACAGCATCAGATAAATGTTTATAAAATAACTACCTGCAAATTATTATTCAAATTACATACATTTTCATCATAGCATGGTACAAAGACATGTCTCGCAAGAAACCTGGAATCCAACGACCACCATACATGATCTTTTAGGTCTTGGTCTATCGTCGAAAAATCCATAATTAATTGATTCAAAAGCCAATTGCTCTGCGTCAATCTTTATTAACGATTGGGCAGAATAATTGAAATTGAGACTTGATTTTCTGATTGGTGGTAGAGCTAAAAATAACATTGTCTCGTTAAAACTGTACCATGAAACATTTTCTTGCATAAATACGCCGTTAGGAATAAGTAAGCTACGAAGCTCTCAACGACTAACAAATTCATTTCATTTGACAAACATTTAATTTTGATTATACAGCTTCAGAATGATTGTTTAAAATTACTTGAAGTCAAAAGTAGTATGATCAATTTATTACTAGGTTATGCAGTATCTTTGATAACATTTAACGAGGCATTGCCAAATATGGCTAAAAAAAGTTATTGTTTATTTTAAAAGCTTTAAGACTAAGGAAGTTAAAGAAATTTTTAAACAAAATGAGGCTCCAATCATAACAGTTAACCAAGCTAATGTTATTATTAAGTGGAGGCTCTTTACTAAGCTTCATTAGTTGTTATTATAAAGCTAGATAAAAATCGTTAAGTTAATTTATAATTCCAAATTTTAAAAAGCAATTTAAATTTAAAAAGCAAAAAATCAAAAGTCATACATTTTTCTAAATTGTCGCACACAGTTGATAAAATAATAAAACATGATGTCTCAGCTAACGTTTGTAATTTATAAATTGTAAGTATACAGAACTTGGTATTAAGACTACCTCTTGGCATAACAATTCAACAGCATCTGAAAGTTGCTGAAGTGAAATATGAACAAATATCGAAAGAATTCATATTAAAATATTTCATTACACATGTTCCGGTAAGGACTTCTTTTTATTTAAAATGAATTGTATTGATTTTGAACGAATTTGTTCCAAACATGCTCCAAAAATATTAACAGAACAAGAAATTTTTTTTGTCAACAACAAATTAAGAAAATTTTTTTTGTAATAGACTAGTATTAGATGTATTTTTTTTTGTAACATCCTAATATAATGGATACTGAAATGCGAAATAACACAAACTTTTCTTTTAAGTTTAATGTACCTTATTACCCTCCCATCGTTTATGGAGGAGAAATAAGTAATGTTGAAAAAATATACGTTGTTGTCAACAGCCAAAAGTACAGTTTTAATTATACTTTACAAGCTGTTGATGCTTGTTATCAATGCATCGTCACTTTAAATGGATACCAGTGCATTTGTGACTTAATGTGGTTTATTATAAAGAACTTATTTTACAATGTCATCTCTTTTAAGTCGATTCCTGTACTCAATACGTTTGTTACTGCATTGAAAATTAGACTAAATAAGGTTACTTGACTTCTTCTGCTAATTAGAACAGTATTCTCAATTTAGTATTTATAATATCATTCTTCCAGTATTTATTGTAAAAACTCTTTAAAAGTTCACCAATACATACAGTATTTGTTGAATTGTTGTTATTACAAGTATAATATTTATGTAAATGGACAGTGACCACATTTTTTATCATGTTCTAATATTTACATTAATGTTTTATAGAAATAAAAATTAACCACGAAATATCGTTCAACTTATTACAAATTTATTTGTTACTTTATTACAAAACATGGTTCTATTATAGCTAAATTATCAACAGAAGTGAAAAATTTGTCTCTTATTAGAGAAAGGGTACTTATTGATTTTTACCAATCGAAAATTCTTAATTCATACAGTAAAACAAAAAAATTTGGTTATTAAAGTCAGATGGTTTCAGATCTAGTATATCGTATATATGTGCCTGATCGCAAAGCTCTAAAAATATTTTTAAAACCAAATAAAAGCATTGACCACATTGTTCACTATATGATAGTTTTGAAACAAGAAAAAAAATTGTATCTAACATTACTCAAACAAAAACATAGTCAGATCACTTGGCAATCAATGCAGAGAATCTTGTTTTACTTTAAACACTACTTTATGATGACTTGAAAACTCGCAATACTTTAGGAAGGCGATCTGGGGTTATAAAATTTGGAGCGACATACGCTTCAAGAGCATGCTTTCTGACATATCTAAAGTCAAAATTATGTAGTATTTCAAAAACGTCTCTCGTCCGGTCACATTTTCGCTCGTATAATCAAAGAAATAAATTCAAAGTGTTCTCTCTAATAATACATGAATAACAATAAAATTAAAGCAAGTATTGATATCCGCTAAAAATCTGGACTACACTTCATTTTTAGCTTTATGAAATCATCCACAACAACGC